CTTTGGCCCAAAGACCAGGCTTCAGCTTCGGTTGGGCCTTCCATGTGATAACCCACCAGCTTGCTTCGGCTGGGCTTGTCCCCGCGCACCCCGTTGGCCCAATGCCAGCAGTCTTGGCTGCTCGGCTTACCTAGTTCTCTTGGCCCCTGGCCTGCAGCCACCAGTGGGTTGCCTATTTGCAGCCGAACCCAAGCCCAAATATTTTTGGGCTATCCTTTTTCGATCCAATGCTAATTTTTGGCATCTTAAATAATCTCAATCTATTGAATTAATTAAAGTGACCAGCAGTCTACTTATCTGACAATTAATGTAAAATTATTGGCATGAAGCTCACTTTTTGGCATTAACGACTCAAGAAGTTATTTAGTTTCTTTGAATCGTTGACTATCTTTCGTAGTCTTGAAGCACTAACACTAGGGTTCCTGAAACAATCCATAAATCCACTACACTTTATTGTATATTGTATTTTATGTTCTTGCAGGTACCCCTATGTGAACTAAACGTTCATAACTAAATCAAACATGTAGTTTCGAATTTAGTGCCTTTGAAACCCGAAGTTTTCATTCAAAACTTACCACATAAAACCTATAGCTTTTATGCATAAATTAAACCAATACATGTCTATAGAACCCGAATGTTCTACGATATATGTCTATATGACTAACCACGTTTTGGTGTACCCTCTGTTTAGGGACATGTCGAACTTGAACAAGCTTGATTTCATCGTTCTAGAAGTCTCCGGAAGAAACTACTTGAAGTGGGTTCAAGATGTGAAGCTTACTGCAAAGAGTTTTAGAGCTACCATTGAGGAACCAACTGACGATGCACCCGTCGACGAAGCTTAGAAAGCTGTTACTATGATCTTCATTCGAAGACACATCCATGATGCACTGTAGACCGAGTACCTCGCAGAGGAGGATCCATGTACCCTCTAGCTCACTTTGGTAGATCGTTTCAATCACCAGAAAGACATCTTTTTGCCTGAAGCAAGACACGACTGGCAGCATTTACACTTCCAAGACTTTAATTCTTTGAATGAGTACAACTCTGAAGTTTGTAAAATCCGATCACTACTTAAGTTCTGTAATAAGGACTTAACCGAACAGAATCTCCTGGAAAAGACCTAGACCTTTAATACCACCAATATTGTCCTGCAGTAACAATATAAGGCACAAAAGTTCACCAAATTTTTGGATTTGATATATGTTCTACTTCTCACTGAAAAACAGAACCATCTTTTGATGAAAAATCATCAAGCTAGACTTACCGGATCGAACGTCGCGCTTAAGGACATGCGACAACTTCGAACAACCAAAACCGACGAAGATCCTGTTGTGGCCATGGCAAGGGACAACAGGCTCCACCACGAGCCCAAGATCCACCGAACAAAGGCCCATCCAAATGAGAAAACTTGATCCAGAAGCGCCAACCCTTTGCCCTCATGGCCCCAAAATTCAAGAACAAGGGAAAAGCTACAGTTCAATTGGATTCCACTGAACTGGACATGTGTTATCGCCATGGATCAAGGGATCATTGGTCATGCGTATGCCGAGCTACCCCCGAGGCCATTGTCAAGTATGATTCACGTCATGAGTCCAACTTTGAGCATGGAGCAATCCCCGAAGCTATTACTGTAACTCTGGAGGTTTCAGATTTTCAGGAAGCATCCACTCATATGGAAGAATAAATTTTAGACATATTTTAAGGCGTTTTAACCCCTAGTGGTTGAACCCATTAGGAGTGGCCAAGCCTCCCTCCCTATTTTTTTCTAAGGTTTATGATTTAATTTTCAGACAATTTTTCTAAGTATTTGGAATTATTTGTTTGGTTTTGGTTTGTTTTGAACTTTGGATATTATTTTATGGATATTATTTCTCGAATTGATTAATTGAATGAATGGAATTATATTTATATATGTGACCAATTCAATTAATTTATTTCTAGGTATGACTAGTGGGGAAGTTAATTGTCTGGCTGATGGTGCGACCACGCATACCATATTGCGTGAGAAACACTATTTCACTAACTTCGTACCTAAGAATGCACCTCTGACAACCCTCTCAGACCCATCCAACCTGATAGAATGATACAGAAAGGCCCGTATAATGTTGTCTAATGGTACTGAATTAAACATTAAAAAGGCACTCTATTCTCCACGTTCCGGAAGAACACTGCTGAGTTTTAGAGACATTCGAGATAACCAATATCATGTTGAAACCACTGAAGAGAATAGTTCTGAATTTCTTTGTATCACTTCACACGAATATGGCCGAAAGCATATTCACGAGAAGCTGGAAAGTCTCCCGAGTGGGTTGTACATAACAACCATTCGAGTTGTAAAGACACACCATGTGGCCAACCCTAGTGCTGGGTTCCAGGACACTCTCCTGCTTTGGCATGATCGAATGGGACACCCTAGACGAGATATGATGCGCCGTATCCTCAAAGCATATCATGTGCATTACTTGAAATCTTATCCAAGCCATCCGCTTTTCAAAGCATGTTCCATGACTAAGTTGAACATTCAACCCTCATTTACAAAGATTATTTACGACCCCCTTAAATTTCTTCAAATGATTCAAGGGGATATTTGTGGACCTGTCCAACCAACATGCATACCATTAAGATACTTTATGGTGTTGGTTGGTGCATCAACATGATAGTCACATGTCTGCTTATTGTCCATACGTAACGCTGCATTTGTGAAACTCCTAGCACAAATTATTAAGCTAAGGGCTCACCACCCTGAGTATCCCATCAAGTTGATATGACTGGATAATGTTGGAGAGTTTACGTCACATACCTTTGACGATTATTGCATGTCTGTTAGGATTGAAGTTGAACATTCTATACCCCATGTTCATACCTAAAACGGCTTGACAGAAGCTTTCATAAAGCACCTTCAAATGATAGCTCGAACTTTGGTTATGAGAACCAATTTGCCGATATCTGCCTGGGCCACACAATATTGCACGCAGCTATATTGGTTCGCCTGAGGCCCACCGCTACCCAACCTCATTCACCATTATAGTTGGTTACTGGATATGAGCCTGATGTCTCGCATTTACGTGTGTTTGGGTGCGCATTTTATATGCCAATAGCGCCGCCGCTACGTACCAAAATGGGTTCTCAAAGAAAACTGGGAATCTATGTCGGTTATGATTTGCCATCCATTATACGTTACTTAGAGCCCTTGACAGGAGATCTCTTTACCACACTCTTTGCAGATTGTCACTTCGATGAGACAGTCTTCCCATCGTTAGAGGGAGATAAGATCACTAACAATTATGTAAAACGGTGCGAATTGTCGTGGATTACTCCCACTATGTCTCATTTAGATCCCCGCACGCCTCAATCTGAAACCGAAGTGCAATGCATTCTAGATCTTTAGAGCATTGCTCAAACCATGCTGGATGCTTTTACTGATCTAACGAAGGTGATGAGATCACATATACCCGCTGCAAACGTACTGTAAGGATGGATGTACCGATCATACGCTGTAACACCGTGTGGAAAGCCGAACCGTCCCCGAGGGTGAGGAGGCCGCACCTCCCACATGGCAAGGTACATTGGCAGCTAGCCAATCACCTGCTCCTACCCTGAAGCATGGCAGGCCTTCTGGTTCAAAGGATTCATAGCCCCGAAAGAGGAAATTGGCACAAACTAGTGAACCTAGTTTGAATCTGACCATTGCTTACTCATTTGTTCCAACGCATTAAGTGAGTCTATTCAAGCTTAAACCAAAATGAGAAAGATGAAAAGGAAACGAAACAAAACATCAAGAAAATGAATATGTATTAACAAGGGATCGAGAAAATATATACCTCTCGATCCATCAATAGTGAAACACACTGGTGATAATAATTCTTAGTAACCACCCGATCAACTTTAGCAACGATGTCATCCGTAGGAGCAAATCTAAACTTGTTAAGGGCATCCTCACGACTCATCATTTGGATAGATCCCAAGATAGGGATGTGAGGTTCGATCTCCGGCCCACCAAATTTAGGAGTAGTCTAGGTAAAGACATCAACCATAATCCTCACGGCTTGAAGAGTTGGTTTTACATAGAATATGAGAAAGTAAACATAATTAAGCATGGTCTAAAAACGTTAGCCTATATACTTGCCCAATTAATGGGTTAATCAAGATGGCATATTTAAAGAGAAAGTCTAATTTATAGCCCCAATATTATAACCGCTTTAATGCATTAGTTTTTGGTTTGCAAACAAAATTGAAATTGAGATTAGAAGAAATCATTAAGAATGATATTAACATGATCAATGAGGGGTTGTATATTGAAATACCCAATCAAAAATGCCAACAACTACATGTAGTATATTTTCTTTTTGCTTCTACATGTCTTAGAACTTGTTACGGTGATAACTCATAATCGTGTTTATATATCTTTGCTTTAGGTATATAATTGTCTTGGTATCTTTATCCATAGCTATCTATCTTATAGGTAATTAGATGAAGATGTTAAGTAAATATTTTTCATAGATATAGACTATACAATTCAACAAAAAAAAAAAAAGTGTTTTAAACATCAATATCATAGGTAAATAATTTGTATATAATTAGGAGTTCTTCAATTTAATTCAATATTTACCATAAAGGGAAAAATAGTCATAATACTAAGTGGGTTTCTTATTGATTGATATTCATGACATTCAGGTCGAATGAAGGTTCCTCACGTGAGCAGCCTTGGCTTGATTGGAAATTAATTTATTATTTAGACGGGGGAAGGTGGCATGTGTAATGGTCGTGATGGAGTACTTGAAAAATGTATATATGTGATTTGTTGGTGACTTCTTGAAATGGAAACAAAACAATAATCTGTGTTAGTTTCAAAGTTCTCACATCATGTGTTGGTTTCAAATTTCTCACAGCATGTGTTGGTTTCAAATTTCTCACAGCATGTCTACACATGCATGCAGTTTCTTTTGCCTATAAATTGAAAACTTGATAGTGATATGTAACAAGTTATATACTGATTTTCATTTGTAGTGGGAGTAGGAATGTTACCTAATTAAGTTTTTCACAATTTCGCATTTGTTTCGATGGTTTCATTTTAACCCCTCCACCACCTCCACCTCCACCTCCACCCCATAGGTACTATAAATACATGCAACTTTGTCTTCAAAACATCAGGTAGAATTAGAAATGGAGTCGAAGTTAGTGCAAGTCATATTTTTCTTCTTGTTTGTCACAGTTTCATCCGCTTACACACCATTCCAATACTTTATGCATGTTCAGTTCTGGCCAGCTGCTGAATGCCAAGCTACAGGGGGGGTGAATAAATGCCACATCATGCAACCATCTCATCTTCAGTTCACTATTCATGGTCTCTGGCCTGCGAATAAATCATCCTCTTCATCCCTTGGCTGCAAAGGGGATGCCTTTAATGTGAATGAGGTAATTATTCACAAATTAACTCTCAATAGTTAATATGCATGTGTCCTACGTGTGTGTATGTATGTATATATGTATCATTATATATCTCCCTGCATGTGTACCGTTTATGTACGTGTATTCTTAACTAGTTCTGTTCTTATATTTTAATTAAATAATAAATGTAGATGAATGATACACTGAAAAAGGAGCTACTCAGTTCGTGGTGGGATTGGAGAAAAGGGGAGCATGTCGAATTCTGGCAACGAGAGTATGATAAGCACGGAAAGTGCTCCGACAATGTGTTCCTGAAGACCGAGTACTTCCGGAAGACCCTAGCGATGTACCATGATTTTGATATAGCTCAAATCCTGCAGAAGGCTAATATTGTACCCCAACTACTTCAGCCCAAGACGTCGTTGTACAAATTGTACTCCATCGATCAGATAACAAAGGCCATTGAGTCCAAAACCGGCGGACATTCCGTCAATATCAGATGCTATCAACAAAACCAGAAGAAGAGCAACAATGGAAGTAAACCATTAATATATTTGGCCCAAGTCGCCCTCTGCTATAATAGATCTGGCAATAGCAGAACTAACTGTGATCCAGGCGAAACAACCAGCTGCAACTTTAATGAATCAGAACCGAAAACTGTACCAAGAATAGCCCACATAAAGCTCTGGTAACAACTGTAAGATCAATATAAACAAAGTCAGCGGAATAGAATAATCACAGTACAAAAGTAACCACTAACCTGAAGAAGACATCTCTTGGAAACTAGGGATCTTCTGCAGCTCTCCTCACGCTCAATGAATGAGATCTGAGTATTCTTTAGTTTGCGTGATTGAGAGAGCGCATGGACCCCTTTTTTATACTGCATACGATGATGATTGATAAAGGCTCTTCCCATTATACAATCCTAATCAATCTAACCTTATCACCGAGAAAACCTATCATTCCCATCCATTATTAGTGTTTCAACACTATCATGACTGTTTTAGCTGAAACCTCTATTATACAAATTCCTTATTAGCTTACAACCTCAGTTAATTCCAATCTCTTATATCCTCACATCTCCAAACTAAAGATGATCAAGTGTTCAGCTCTCGTTAGAACTTACATTCTCCCACTAGAGTTAACGCTTGATTCAACAGTAGCTAGCCTTATGTGAAGTTATTCTTAAATGGCCAGGAGATCAACACCAACTTGAATCACGAATACAAGTTCAGGTCATTAATTAGTATTCATGAAGAACTAAATGGTAACATGTTCAATTTGTCGAACAATATCCCCATAATTCCATTCACAAAACTAACACATACAAGATGCAAAATTTGTGTAAAATGTGTCTGTAGATGTATAATTTCTCACATCCTGCACTTGGTCCCCTTAAGAATCGATACATCAATTCATCTTAATGTTTCATATTGAAACTCTTGGTTGTTTGTCCTACTGACAATCATATGTTGGATATATGTCAACAATCTGTGATAATTTTATATATGCTAATAAATAATAAATACGAATAAATATTGAACAGAGTATGAACAACGAAATAATTTAAAACAGAAAGATTGAAGATCTAGACTTGCGTACCACAATGTCCTTGAAACATAAATTTGTCCCTACTCAGTGCTTGTAGTTCTACAGAAGTCTGCTTCACCAGGATTCAACGATCAAGTTAGAATTCCAGCACCGGAAAACTTAACTTCTGGCGAACTTCTGTGTGGTTCTCTCAGAAAGGATGTTTGAGATTGTAGAAGAAGAATATTGATTTTTTTGTGTGTCTTAAATGCCATGCAAATAGATGTATATATGATAGAAGGATGCATGTTCGTAATAGGTATGAGAATGGGATGTGTCTGTTAGGAGACATCTTCTTCAGGGTGGTGCTTTGTTCTGTGTTCTTTCTAAACTCTTCAGACTTCATCTGAAAGGATGAGTCTGTTGGTAAAAAAACAAATAATTAATTAAATTCAAAATTAATTAAAAATAATTAATTAAATCCAAAAATAATTAATTAATTAATTAAATTATTAGAGCCCGAGCCCTAAGGCCCAAGGCCCATCTTTTGATAATTAATTATATATTAATTATAATTAATTACCAATTAATTAGTGCACCCCAAAGCCCAACCCCAAGGATGAGCCAAATTTTATTCTCCAGGCCTATTACTCGAATCACTTTCTATAAAAGACAAAGCCTTATAAAGTGATAAAATCTTTTGGAAATGACCAATGTGGGACAAAGAAATTTCTACTCAAACTATTCAAATTTCCAACAATACCCACATTTGAGTTGAAATTTCATTCAAACTCCAACAATTACCCCACATTTGAATGCAAATGTAAATGCAAATGGATGACTAGTCTGCCTAAAACTGAGAGAGAATGGACATGATTTGCATCGAGTGAAGCGTTTTTTGGACTTGAACTTACCCTAGTGCAAACATATCGGGTTTACTTGGTGACGCAGTGGATGTGGAAGATCTTGAATTGTCCACCGCAGTAGTAAACTGAGACAATTACTACACACATATCATGTCTGCCACACGTAAATTCATATGGTTGTGTTCATTTTGGCCCTGAACAGATCCCAGATTTCGTAGGAGTTTTAGAGAATTTAGCCATGTCAATTCTCATAAATGTGGCCCCATTTACTCCTATATAGGTGACATTAATTAAGAATAGTCTGTCATATTCCTCTTGATAACAAGATATTAATGTCATTAAGTGTATAAAACATAATCCCTCAAACGTTAACAGACAACACACATTTTATCATAAGAATGGGTAAGTTGTGTGTTCAACTTTTGAATCAAACTCAACCAGTTTGCCTATTGAACCTAGACCATGAGATCTCCAATCAGCTAGGTTAGGTTTCCGCCCAGTTCGATTCATTGAATTGGCTTAAGACCCACTCCCCTCGATGTAAATAATATTTGCTCTCTTGGTATGCCTTTTGTCAAAGGATCAACTATATTTTCCTTTGACTTTACATAATCAATGGATATTATTCCATTGGAGAGCAACTTTTTAAGAGTATTATGTCGACGTCTGATGTGACGTGACTTCCCATTGTATACATGACTTTTGGCCCTTAATTGCACGGCCATACCATCACAATGTATACATATAGTCGTTACCGGCTTTGGCCACATTGGAATATCCTCCAGAAAATTTTTGAGCCATTCGGCTTCTTCGCCAGCCAAGTCTAAAGCTATAAACTTGGACTCCATGGTGGACCGAGCTATACATTTCTATTTAGAGGATTTCCAAGATATTGCTGCACCTCCCAAGGTAAAAACATATCCACTTGTCGACTTGGATTCTGTAGTGTCAGAATCCAATTGGTATCACTGAAGCCTTCTACAACAGGTGGATATTTTGTGTAGTGTAATGTAGTGTAATCAGTAGTCAAGTGTATTTTTCAAATACCTTAACACTCGTACTAAAGCATCCCAATGCTCTTATGTCGGATTACTTGTATATCTACTAAGCCTACTTACTGCATAAGCTAATTCGGGCCTAGTTGAATTCATCAAGTGCATGAGACTTCCAATTACTTGAGAATATTCAAGTTGAGATATGGCATCGCCTTTATTTTTCTCCAACTTGCATCCAACATCAAAAGGAGTTGCAGCTGGTTTGCAGTCAAACTGACCAAACCTTTGTACTATTTTTTCTGCATAATGGGATTGTGTAAGGACATATCCTTCACTATTTCTCTTAATTTGAATTCCTAAAATGACATCGGCTTGACCTAAGTCTTTCATGTCAAAACTTGAATTCAATATTTTCTTTGTTTTGTTTATTACATCTTTATCGCTTCCCATTATGAGCATATCATCCACATACAAGCAGACAATAACAGAAGTTTTATCATTACTCTTAATGTAGACACATTTATCAGATTCATTTATTTTGAACCCATGTGTCAACAAAGTATGATCAAATTTCTCGTGCCATTGTTTTGGTGCTTGTTTAAGTCCATATAATGACTTAACTAATTTGCACACTTTGCTTTCTTGTCCTTTAAGCACAAACCATTCAGGTTGTTCCATGTATATTTCTTCATCTAGTTCTCCATTTAAAAATGCTGTTTTTACATCCATTTGATGTATATCAAAGTTGTATACAGCCGCAATCGCTATTAACGTCCTAATTGACGTTATGCGAGAAACTAGAGAATAGGTGTCGAAATAATCCAACCCTTCTTTTTGGCGATAACCTTTGGCTACTAAACGTGCTTTGAACTTATCAATGGTTCCATCCGCCTTAAGTTTCTTCTTGAAAATCCATTTATGGCCAATTGGTTTACTACCGGGAAGTAAATCAACCAATTCCCATGTGTTATTTTCCATAATGGATTCCATTTTACTTTTAATTGCTTCCTTCCATAAAGAAGCCTCAGAAGAAGACATTGCTTCTTTAAAAGTTCTAGGTTCATTCTCCGACAAGAAAGCAATGAAATATGGTCCAAAGTTTTTAGAAACTTTGATTCTTTTTCCTCTTCTTGGTTCCACATCATTTCCTTGGACACCAGAAGAAGAGGCTTCATCATGACTATGATCATGAACCCTCTTTGTATTAGAACTAGATTCCTTTTCTTTGTAAGGAAATATATCCTCAAAGAATTCCGCATCCGCTAATTCTAATATAGTGTTGACATGTATGTCAGAAATCGAAGATTTTACAACAAGGAACCTATAAGCAGCACTATTATTTGCATATCCAATGAATACACAATCAATAGTTTTAGGTCCTAGTTTCGTTCTTTTTGGTAACGGAACTTGCACCTTTGCTAAGCAACCCCACACTTTGAGGGTTTTATAAGTGGTCTATGTCCTTTCCATAGTTCATAAGGTGACTCGTCAATCTTCTTTAGAGGAACCTTATTCAATATGGTATTTGCAGTAAGTAAAGCTTCACCCACAAACTATGTGGAAGCCCTGAACTATTTAACATGGAATTAATCATATCTTTGAATGTTCTATTTTTTCTTTCGGAAACACCATTTTGTTGTGGTGTGTATGGAGTCGTTGTTTGATGTATAATTCCATGTTGTGCACAAAAATTTGAGAAGGCAGTAGACTCATACTCTCCTCCTCTATCGGATCTAAGTGCTTTGATTTTTCTCTCTAGTTGATTTTCAACTTCTGCTTTATATGTCTTAAACATATTCAAAGCTTCGTCATCGCTATGAATCAAATAAACATAGCAATACTTACTGCAATCATCAATAAAATTGACATAATAATTCTTTCCTCCACGAGTTGGTGTGGATTTAAAGTCACAAAGATCACTATGAATTAATCCAAGTAATTCATTTGATCTTTCCAGAATTGACTTTCTCGTTTGCTTAGCAAATTTCGATTCAATACATGTTTCACACTTATGATTAAAATCAATTTTGAATTTAGGTAATAAGTCTAATTTAACCATTCTATGTATGGAACGAAAATTAACATGTCCTAATCTAGCATGCCAAATATTAGAAGACTCAACAATATAAGTAGAAGCATTTATTTTATTAGTATCATCAATGGCAATTACATTGAGTTTCACGAGGCCATCAGCCACATAACTCTTTCCAACAAACATCCCACCCTTGGTAAGTACGAATTTGTTGGATTCCATTACAAGTTTAAAGCCCTTAGTAATTAGAATAGGTCCAGAAACCAAGTTCCTCCTTATTTCAGGAACATGCAGCACATTCAGCAAGGTGAGACTCTTTCCAGATGTGAATTTGAGTACCACTTTGCCTTTGCCCTCCACCGCAGATAAGGCAGAATTGCCCATATACAGCTTTTCTCCATGGGTAGCAAGATGGTATTCAGTGAATAGAT